TGACGTCTAGTGTATATGTGATCCCAGATATAGATCAATTACTATCACAGACTCCATTTCCCATCATCCTCCCTGGAACATAAGTCACACACACCTGGAATTCATCTAGCCCTGCTCACCAGCACTATATAAAGCCGCACACACCCTCAGTCATAAGCCGCGTTTCCATTACACATTTGCTCAGATATGGGTAGATTCATGTATATCGTAGCCGCCGCACTACCTGTTATTTATATTCGGAGGAGATGTTTCCGCATTATACAAGCGTTAATGGCAAGGCAAGCCGCCTTTAGGCTACTTGGGAGTGGTCGAGTATGTTTTTTTCTGGGAAGTTGTGGTGCACGATTTCTGTGGATTCAGAATTTCCGGATGAACAAGAGTTGTGCAATGCGATCGGGCCTCTTGTAGCACCTGCTACATCATGCCCAAGGGAGCCATGCTGCTATTTCTACAAATAAACACATCGCAATAGCTGTTTATAAACTGGCTAGCTGTGCAGGGTACAGGGTAGTGGCTGAGACATCTGGGGTTAGCAAATCAACTGTCCACAGGTGTGTGTATGGTTGGTGTATGCCAGGATATATGCACACAAATTATGAAGCAGTACATTGCTTTGCCAAATGTGCAGGAGGCACAACACAATTATGAGGCAATACATTGTGTATGAGGCAATATGTGGCTAAAAATACCTCGAAGTCTACGGTTGATGGATATAGAGATTATGTAAATAGAAAAGGTTGGACATCCATTGTTCTGCAGGCTGTTAGATGTTGGTAATTTTAGGAGTCCCTTGCTGGGACCCTGCCGCTATACCCTGGGTCATGACAGGCTTCCCAGGTCCAAATTTGACAAGCATGGCGCTCAGCTGCCTCTGTTGCCCTCTCAAAATGTTGGACAGCACGATTGAGCACCTCAATGCTGGGCTGAGGAAGCCTTGATCCTGCCGCGCATGCTCCTTAAATATATATTCATCTGGAGAGATGATCTCCACCTTGGCTGCCTCCAGCTCTCCTGACCCAAAGGTGTAGATGATTCACTCTCCGTCTCCTCTGGAACCTTTGGAGTACCAGGGGGTTCGTCATTTAAGGATGCTGCTGTTAACCCTAAAGAAATAAGACCATTTAATACATCAGACTATTTTTATTAGGACAATTTTAATGTTTGTACATCGCCCTTTTGGGTGTAAGTTTGTTTGCCAATGCATTGTTAAACATTTTATTATATCATAGCTTACAGTTAACATTTGTTGTAATATCCTGTAAAACAATATGTGTATCTATTTATGAGTATATGAGACTATTTGTGAGTCTAAATGATCTATTATCAACGGACTATGAAATATCAACATGATCATCTTCAGGTCTGTTCCCTTCTGATTGATAGTTCTTTTTTAATGTAGAAAATGTGCAATTCTTAATTTCTCTCATGTTAAAAAGTACATGTTAAATATGTCAGAAGGTTTATTTGTGTTTCAATGAGTTGTATTGCATATATGAACCATAAAAACCTGCATGCATTTCATGATTCCTTTAAATTTATGCTGAATTAAGTTTTAATAAATACCCAGCTAACAGGGAACGTTCTTAGAACTTTGGCTAACATTCCCTAGAGGTTTGGTTAATGTTTTAAATAAAACATTTGAATGCAATGTTTTAAGAATGTTTTAAGGATGTTTTCTCATTTCAAATAATGTTCCTATAAGGTTAAATGTAAACTAAGATATAACATTTTCACTGTAACATTTTGAGGATGTTTTGGGAATGTTGCTGAGATAACAGATTAAACAATGTTCTCAATAAAACATTAGCACAATATCTCATAATAACAGAGGAGGAACATTATCAAATCAACGTTCGCAAAATGTTTTGAGGATATTATTTAGTCCTGAGATGATGGAATGTTTTTATAAAATGTTCTTGTAATGTGACGTGTTAACAAAACTAGAACATTGTCACTGTAACATGTTGAGGATGTTTTGGGAATGTTGTTGAGATAACAGATATTAGAATGTTATCAATAAAACATTGGTACAATGTCCCATAAAAACAAAGGAGGAACATTATCAAATCAACGCTCGCAAAATGTTATGAGGATATCATTGAGGCCTGAGATGACTGAATGTTTTTTATAAAATGTTCTTGTAATGCGACATGTTAAGAAAACTAGAACGTTTTAAATTTAACATTTTGAGGATGTTAATGAGGTAAAGGTTTGTAGAATGATCTCTTATAGAACATTGAAACAATGTTCCATAATAACAGAGGAGGAACATTATCAGGTTAACGTTCGCAAAATGTTTTGAGGATACTATTTAGTCCTGAGATGACGGAATGTTTTTTATAAAATGTTCTTGTAATGTGACATGTTAACAAAACTAGAACATTTTTACTGTAACATGTTGAGGATGTTTTCGGAATGTTGTTGAGATAACAGATATTACAATGTTCTCAATAAAACATTGGTACAATGTCCCATAAAAACATAGGAATAACATTATCAAATCAACGTTCGCAAATGTTATGAGGATGAGGCCTGAGATAATGGAATGTTTTTTATAAAACGTTCTTGTAATGTGACGTGTTTAACAAAACTAGAACATTTTAAATTTAACATTTTGAGGATGTTGATGAGGTAAAGGTTTGAAGAATGATCTTTTATAAAACATTGAAACAATGTCCCATAATAACAGAGGAGGAACATAATCAAATTAACGTTCGCAAAATGTTTTGAGGATATTATTTAGTCCTGAGATGATGGAATGTTTTTTATAAAATGTTCTTGTAATGTGACTTGTTAACAAAACTAGAACATTTTCACTGTAACATGTTGAGGATGTTTTCGGAATGTTGTTGAGATAACAGACATTACAATGTTCTCAATAAAACATTGGTACAATGTCCCATAAAAACATAGGAATAACATTATCAAATCAACTTTCGCAAAATGTTATGAGGATATCATTGAGGCCTGAGTTGATGGAATGTTTTTTTATAAAATGTTCTTGTAATGTGACGTGTTTAACAAAACTAGAACGTTTTAAATTTAACATTTTAAGGATGTTGATGAGGTAAAGGTTTGTAGAATGATCTTTTATAAAACATTGAAACAATGTCCCATAAAAACATAGGAATAACATTATCAAATCAACGTTCGTAAAATGTTCTGAGGATATTATTTAGTCCTGAGATGATGGAATGTTTTTATAAAATGTTCTTGTAATGTGACGTGTTAACAAAACTAGAACATTTTCACTGTAACATGTTGAGGATGTTTTCGGAATGTTGTTGAGATGACAGACATTACAATGTTCTCAATAAAACATTGGTACAATGTCCCATAAAAACGGAGGAGGAACATTATCAAATCAACGTTCGCAAAATGTTATGAGGATATCATTGAGGCCTGATATGATGGAATGTTTTTTGATAAAATGTTTGTAATGTGACGTGTTTAAACATTAACACTGTAACATGTTAAGGATGTTTTGGGAATGTTGTTGAGATAACAGATATTACAACGTTCTCAATAAAACACTGAAACAATGTTCCATAATAACAGAGGAGGAACATTATCAAATCAACGTTCGAAAAATGTTTTGAGGATATCATTGAGGCCTGAGATGATGGAATGTTTTTATAAAACATTCTTGTAATGTGACGTGTTAACAAAACTAGAATGTTTTAAATGTAACATTTTGAGGATGTTGATGAGGTAAAAGTTTATAGAATGATCTTTCATAAAATATTGAATGTAGGCCTACCATAATAACAGAGGAAGAACATAATCAAATTAACGTTCGCAAAATGTTTTGAGGATATTATTTAGTCCTGAGATGATAAAATGTTTTTAATAAAACATTCCTTTAAATTGACTTTTTAACAAACATTTTGCATGATACATTTTGAGGATTTTTTGTCGAAATGTTGTTATCTTTTATAAATCATTGGCACAATAACAAAGGAGGAACATTATCAAAGCAACATTCATCAAATGTTTTGTGGACATTTACCTGAGATGACAAAATCTCATAATATATGTTAACAAAAGCTCATAAAATTGTAAGGATATTTTAAGGAAGCTGTTTAGGTAACAGATTGTAGAATTATTTTAACCTATAGAATAATGGCATAATTTTCCATAATGAAAGAGGAACATTGTCAAAACAGCATACGGTAAAGTGTTTTGAGGATATATTAGGCTACTCTGAAATGAACTGTTGCGACAAATGCGTTTACAAGAGATGAGAAGCTGATTGGAGGTCGCTGTAGATCGACGTTTAAAACCACCAATCACAGCGCGATGTTCCCATGACGTAAGAACATTTGAACTCGACAAACAGCGCAAATAAAGCAACGTTTCTGTTGAAGAAATCGGCGCAGAATGTCCGTTGTCTAAATTGGCGACACATTGGCCCAAAACAACAGAACTCCTGGTCAACGGAACTCTTTCACAACTGTAAGTTTTTGTGTGTATTTTTTCAGTTTACATAGCTTTCTCTTATCCTTGATGTCTTTCAGTATTAGACCTAACTTTCTACTTTCTTAGAATTGTATGACAGTCGCATTAAATCTGAGTGTATGCTACTTTTGAATAACAGCTAGATTTGTTTTAATGCAGACTCCAAACGGACTGTTTCAAGATGATTAACTTACCGATGACACAATAAAGTCTCCATTTACAACCAAGGTAGCCAAGATGCCGGTATGTGTTCTATGCATACGAATACTGTATTTTTACTTAAAAGTGATCTTAATGTCTTTTGAAAGTAAAAGTTAATAATAATTCAGTAATTCATATAACGTTAGAGGTTAACGTTAATGAATTGGAAAGAGCGTTTCTCAAGGCTTCAGGTTTATATAACATTCTTCTTTCAGATGAATACTATCTGAGTTATATTTAAAAAAATGTCCTGACTCTTCTGACTTTTAGAATGGCAGTGAATGGCCGTCTATCAAGGCGCATCCATCCATGATAAAAGTAATCCACCACATGACTCTGGCGGGGACTCTATAAAGCCCTTTTAAAGCGAAGCATTTGTGTAAGAAAAATATCCATTTTTAAAACTTTATTGTATTAAGATATTGGATACATGGATTAAGTATGTTTTAAATTACAGAAACAAAAAAGATACTCATAATTTATCATATTTATACTTTCAATAAATTAGTCTTTACATAATTTCTGACTGCTAATTAGGCTGGCTAATTTTGAAAGTTTTCAATGTCAATATTGCTTGTGATCTTAATGTATGTCACTGATTCTTGAAACTTTGGCAAAAACATGTCCCACTAAAAAAAGTGCTAATTCTGTTGGAAATTAATAACATTTTCATGAATGAAAAGAATCAAGTTTATAATCAGGGGGTCCTTTGCACATATGTAAGGTTCTTTTATAGGTTTATTTTTCATTTTTATTATTTTAATGATTATATCCTGGCCCATTGCCTACAAAATCAGCTGTCCTCGGATAGGAGATAATCATTTCAACTTGATTAAAAAAACAAAAAGGAATAATTGAATTGAATAATATATTTACCACACAAAAGAGTACATTGTAATATGTATTAAAAACTACAAACATTGAGTTTTGAACAATATTTACTATTATTTTGTGGTTGTTCAAAATGTGTCCCACATATTCGTCACCACCGTCAGATATTTATAAAAAGCAATAAAATCAGGCAACTACAAGGTCAACTACATTCCTCCATACCCCATTTTCAAACCTTCAGCTTTACAGCATGCTTCAAGATCACTCAAGCTCCCGTAATTTTGCTATTTTCTCTTAAATTTGTTCATATATTTGGGCACTGCTACTGTCACAACCATAACATGTCAACACCGTCTCTTTTGTATAGAAAATATTAGATTAGATTATGACATAATTGTATACTTTTTAAGAAGAGGTCTGAAGTAGCTAGCAACAGAGGGGAAACAAGATGGCTATAATGTGAACAACTCATGCATATCATGTGAAAGAGTAGGTTTTGTCACCACCGTCAGACGTCACCACCGTCAGGTTTTCTATCTGACGGTGGTGACATACCGTGTGACGGTGGTGACAAAACCCCCCAAATGGTCTATAACAGAGGCTAGAATATAATTGTTGATCACAATAAATACCAATATATTATCCTGTAATGTTCCATTCACCTCTTTAATATTTTTATTTATTTAATTCCCCCTATATTTCTTCCATTCAGGCTTACACTGCATGCTACTATGAGCGCGAGTGAGAGTGAGGATGTTTCCTGATATCCTCACGGCTGTGGTTCAGCTGCAGGAATACAGCAGTTCTAATCTGAACACGTTTGATGCGATTAAATTGTGTTTCATGACGTTCATTTAGATTTTTGCCCACACTAAAAATTTGTTAAAGCCTAGCATGGATAGGAGCAGCAATAACCCCCTTGGGGTAAACAGAACAGAACCAACATGAATGTTTTGCAGATTATTTCAAAATTTAAAGTACAATATAATTCGAGAATTTATTCAGATTCTTGGGGAATCAGAATGTCAAGTCCTGACTGACGAGTGGAGCTGGGGAAGGAGGAGGGTAATGAGCTCCTGAGAAACGTGATAGCTGATGATAATACTGAAGGAGCTTATACTGTATATGTGTACAGTGATAGGCGTCATATTCCTATAGGGGGAGGTGGATCAGCTAATAGTCGGCTGATGCGAGCTTGACTAACGTGACCTGCCAGAACTAACCAGAACTAAGGATGCACATAGTGCAGCTACTGCCTACCTACACAGCACATAGTATGCACTATCCATTCCAGGCTATGCATCTCCAATGACTAAAGCCAAATGAAAATGGCATGACATCATTTAAACAAATCTAACATTCGCTGTAATTACCCCCAATTTCATAGTCATTACACTCAACTTTGACTTTATGTATTTTCGAAAGTTATGGCTAGGCAGCAGCTATATAGAGGAGAGAAGGAGAAGAAACAGGGAATACCAAAAAAAGCTGAGAGAGAAAATACACAGTGAGGCAGAGTTAAATGAGGAATACCTCATAAAAGGAAAAAAATGTTTATCACAGTGCTCAAGATTGTTATTTTTTGGACCAAAGAGTTAAATGAAGTTGTTAAGCAAGAATTGATTGACTTGAGTGGTATACATTGTGGAATTGTATGTTGTAAAGAGTCACAGTCACCACCGTCAGATTAATGTCACCACCGTCAGTTCTAAAGTCACCACCGTCAGAGGGAGTTTTATTGGTTTTAAATGAATATACTTGAAATATGATTCTTCAGTGCTGTTGAGTTATTAAAGTAATAGTCTCTTTTAATACAAAAATATGTTTGTTAAGTAAAACAACATTAATTTTTCTATTTAGGCTTAAAGTAAATGTTGTATGATGTTATATCTTTTAAAGGAGTACACGCAAAACAGTATAAAAAATGAACAAAAGTGAATATTCAACATTTAACAGCATATATGTGTACCAAGAATGCCAGATAATGATTTAAAAATTCTAAATACATATTAGACCAAACAAATAAAAAATAATTTGCTATTTATTTTGTCTGACGGTGTTGACAAAAACAAAGTGATAACTGGAGAAACGCCTATTTTATGAAAAAAATACAAAATGAGGAGGTTGCACCGGTGCATTGCTGAACAGCCAAGACCTTGCTTTATAATGATATACCTTTAGATTTTGTAATTTAACTAACTTTTTATTTTCAAAATTAAAACCTGTTTTATCCAAATTCCCAAGAATCACTGATGTGTATTCTTTATGTTTACACTTTTGCATGATCTTCTTTTTTAGGCTATGAGGAAAAACTCTACTGTGCACACAGAGAACAGAGCTCAATGCTAACTGGGGGAGCAGCTGGACAACTAGAAGAGAGAATAGTAGAACACTATTATTAATACAGATTCCTGGATTATTTTTCTGCAAGAACCAAAACAAGCAAAGACTGATGATGAGTGCTCTGAGCAAACACCGCAGTCAAGACGCATGAGTGACTTTACTGAGTTCTTCATGTAATGTTGGGCATTTACTGTACGCAGAACTTCTAATAATTTATGTGGATGCCATTTAAACCTGTTAGATTTTGATGTTTTAGTTTTGAGATTAATAAAATGTTATGCTTTAACAATGTTATAGCTAATCATTTTTGAGGGGTTTTAAGAGAACATTTTGGGAACAAAAATAAACTTCCGCTAAAAACTTTATAAGAAAGTTAGGGGATAATGTTTTAAAAATGTTATGATTAAACCTTTATAGAAGGTCATCACAAAACATTTTCAGAGTGTTCTTAGCGAATGTTATGCCATCTTTTAAGAGAACATTCTGGGAACAAAAAGAAAACTACCCGCTGAAAATGATATAAGAACGTCAGGGAATAATTTTCTAACAATGTTAGCATTTAACATATTTAGAATGTTTTTAGAGAATGTTATTAGAACTTTTAAGAGAACATTCTGGGAACAAAAAGAAAACTACCCGCTGAAAGTGTTATAAAAACATTAGGGAGTAATGTTCTAACAATGTTAGCAATAAACATATTTAAAATGTTTTTAGACAATGTTATTAGAACTTTTAAGAGAACATTTTAGGAACCAAAAAAAAACTACCCGCTGAAAATGTTATAAAAACATTAGGGAATAATGTTCTAACAATGTTAGCAATAAACATATTTAAAATGTTTTTAGACAATGTTATTAGAACTTTTAAGAGAACATTCTGGGAACAAAAAGAAAACTACCCGCTGAAAATGTTATAAGAACGTCTGGAAATAATGTTCTAACAATGTTAGCATTTAACATATTTAGAATGTTTTTAGAGAATGTTATTAGAACTTTTAAGAGAACATTTTAGGAACCAAAAGAAAACTACCCGCTGAAAACATTATTAGAACACTGCATGGTAATGTTCTCAGAACATTTTTAGAACAAAAAAATCCTAGCTGGGTACTGGTTCTGTTGTATTACTGTTTTTTAGTACAATTGTAAAACAAACAAAAAAAAAATAATGCTCTATTTGAGTAAGGAGATCATAAAAAAAACACCCTTGGATGAAGGTGTGAAAGTGTTCATAGGCATATTCTTTTTTTTTTTCATCGCTTACTGTTGCTTGAATGTGTAAAATCAACAGGTTCTAAAGGATATCCTGTAGCTTCTCTTCGCTTTTAACTATTTCCTGAAGACGTTACAGTATATTATCGAGTCCCACACTATCTAACTGAATCAATGTCACTCTTCTCATCTGTTTTCTGTCTCTGCTGGGGGAAATTCACAACTTTTGGTTTTATAGGAATAGTTCTTCCAAATTCTGTCACCATGTATACTCATCGTCATATCATTTCAAATATGATACCTGACATAAAAACTACACATTCGACTAACACCAACTATAAGTAGATTTGCAACTACATGTAAACTAACTCTCATTAGACTTAGTATTAGACTTATTAGAGTATTAGACTTAGGTTTGGGTTAGTAGAACAAGTTGACAGTCTGTAGGGAGCATAAAGTGTTAGTAGATAATAAGACACTCTAATGAGAGTTAGTTGACAGTTGCATTGCAAAGTTACATACAGTTAGTAAGTGGACTGTCAACAAAACTTTGAAAAAATCTTTTTTTTTTTTTTTTTTTTTTTTTACAGTATATATTATGTTATACCGACTTCTGATTTCTGTTCCATTGCTTCTGTTTCTCTTTCTGTGTTTTCTTCCTGTGTTTAAGGTATCCATTTCTGAGTATTATTTAGTTCCTTATTTATCACTGAATATATGAAGAGTTCAGATGCAAAAGCCTCTAAATGCCATTTGAAATTTTCTTCTAGAATGATCATTATCAAGCTTGTATATTTAAGTTCAGTAATTTCACTTAAATGACAATTAATAGGTAATCTTCATTGCCATTTTTAGTGAAATTACTGAACTTTAATATACAAGCTTGATAAAAATGATCATTTTAGAAGAAAATTTGAAATGGCACTTAGAGGCTTTTGCATCTGAACTCTTCATATCTAGCCTTGTGTCTCTCTTCAGTTTTTAGGTTTTGCTAGTGTTTTTTGCTTATGAATATATGCATATGACTGCTGGTGTATTTTTTTTTTTTTTTTACTGTAGTATTAAGTTACTGTTAGTATTACACCGTGTCCTAACTACACGCGACGCGATAAAATTCCAGCGACAGCAAGTGTGTCTGTCCACACTAGACGCGACGCGACTGTGAGGTGCCACACATCGTCGCGTTGGAACAGCGTGTGAGCAGAGTCTCTCTGTGAAAGTGCACTGTTGGCCCGCACTCGCATTGGAAATGGGTAAGGACATAATCAAATCAAGAAATAACATTATTAAAATTCAAAACATTAAGAGAATATACTCATTGACTAATTTTGTAATGAAGTACAGTTGTATGTTTGTATAGAATTGATTTTGAACGCTATATTAGGCTACATGCTTTCAAAATCTGAGGTAATTATCGCTTGTGCCACAGTGACCTATTTTTAACTAAAAACAAATAATGTGTACTTATAACCAGGCTAATTTCTTCATTCTGTCAGCCGCGACGTCGCAGAAATAGGAACCGTTTCTAAAATAGAAACTTCGCGTGTCGCGGCGTGGCGTCGGGTTAAGACACGGGGTTACAGTTTTAATTACAAGTAAACAACTTAATCATTTTTTCACGGGTCAGAGTGTGAGGTAAAATATATCAAATTATGTCTTATGATGCTTAAAGGAGTAGTTCACTTTTGAAAAAAACTTTTGCTGATCCCCATGTCATCCAAGATGTCCTTGTCTTTCTTGCTTCAGTCGAAAAAAAATTAAGGTTTTTGATGAAAACATTGCAGGATTTTCTCCATATAATGCGTGTCAAATGGACCCAAACGGTTCGGCTACATGGATATCTTGGAAAACATGGGGGTGAGGAAATTATCAGCAAAAGTTTTTTTTTAAAGTGAACTACTTTAATGAATAATGTTTGTCTGTGTACATCAGGTTAAGAACGCTGGGACCTTCTCATTATCACAAATCACAGTAGCAGCATAAGTCACAGATCCTTTGTAATTATTTATATTGCTCTGACATTGTTATTGTCTCGCTCTATTGTCTTTGAGTACCGTTTCTGGGTGATGGTTCAAGTGAAAATGGCGCGGTGGGATTGGCGTTCGCATGCCAGTGTAATGCATCCTGTGTTCGCTACCCAAAGGTCGTGTGCGGGTAAAAATGGAAAGATGTACAGGAGGGTGTGTTTTTACCATTGTTCCCCCTCTTGTGTCTGATACGTCTATCCAGTCCACTGCTGCGAAAAGAAATTAAACGTTCCATCTGTCTTTCAGTCTTCCTTCCTTTCCAGCCCAGAATAGACTAGCGCGGCCTTAGAAAAACCCTCTCAAGTGCTGTCAAACCCAGACCGAAACGCCAGGGCTTACATCATTGTTCATTTAATGCATTTGGTTCGTTGTTTAGAAAGGTTAAGGTTAGAAAGACAATTTTTTTTTTTTTTACAACAAAGACAACATTTACAAAGAAAGTTGGTATTTATATAGTATTGTCAATTTATTTTAAATTGAAAATTGATGCCTTCAATATAAAAAAAAGTATTATTCTCTTTTATATACAATGAATGTGTCATTCAAAATGTAAAATTCCAATAGCAGCAATGCATTTAAATATATTATTACATTAAATGGTCGGTCAAAAATGTTCATTGACAGACTGCTTTGCTATACATTGTATGAATACATTTTTTAAAATCAGTTTTAGAAGCTATATAACACAATGGATTTATAATCGCATTAAATTGCTCAGCCCTGTCACGCTCAATTTCCCATGTGAGAAACAAATCTGAATTATGGTATGTTTTAATGTTCTCCAGTTCTCTTGACATGTGTCAGGACTACTAAGAAATGTGAAACTGATGTGTTTCCTGGAGTATCTGTTCTGAAGAACATGAAGCGTTGTTTATGAGGGCAGAACGAACACCTTCTCTCTCATTTTCCTTCGGTCGCACTGGCTCGTCTTTCACATTCCTTTTACCTGGAAATGAAGAATTTATGCAAATACCGATCTAGAGTCTTCCCCACATTCCTGTCGATGTTCACATTGAGTTATTAAAGCTATATGATTTTGAAAGGAAAGGAACAAAAATTAATAAAATTAATAAATTTGATAAAAATTTAACTAAACTATTGTTTTACTTTTCTTACTAAACTACTTAACGTTAAGCCAAACATATATCTGGTTGTACCTTACCCAAAATTTTACATATTGTTCCCTTATTACCTACAAGTAAGTACACTACAGAAACGTACACCGTAATTTCGGTTTACTTACAAAGTTCTTTGCAGTTTGTATATCTGCTTGTTACTGTTACCCCTTTATTACCCCAAAACTTAACATATTGTTCACTTATACCTGCACGTAAGTACACTGTATTTACAGAACGTACACTGTAATTCCGCTTTACTTACGCAGTTTTGTGGGTCGTAATATAAAGGGTTACCCAAAACATATAACGGTTCAACATATTGTTGTGTACACAGGGCATTGTTCTTTTAATAAATATGCTGTCCTCCTATGCAGTCTTCCTTTCAGTTGTGCTTGCTCATGGTCTCCATTGTTAAAAGTGACCCACCTCTGTGGTCTTGCACAAATCAGCACATTTGAATCACATGTTTTAAATGGCCATTGAATACATCTCCCTTGTACACACACACACATAAACTTGGCGCCAGCTAGGCCTATTATAGGACACGCTGATCATGTCTTATGAGTGTCGTTGAGAACAATAGAGCTGGACAGTTATGATAAGGCACTCAGTCACTTCAGCAGAACCTGCTTCCACTCGTCTCTCTCTCTCTCTATGTGTGTATGTATGTCTCTCTGTCAAGTCTTCATCGTCAGTTAGGAACCTGGGTGTGCTCTTTGATACCCTTTCATTTGAAAGTCACATATATTTTTTTCCTACTATGGAAGTCAATGAGACCAAACTGTCTGGTTAATGATATTCTTCTAAATATCAGAAAATCGGCTGAATGGGTTCGAAAACGGTAAAACTCAACTGTTTAACTCGGGGGGAGTTGTAAAATGAGCCTATTTCCAAAAAAAGTGGAGTATCTCTTTAAGTTACCAGTCTCAGTTATCAGTCTTGCTCCCTTCTGGATTATAAATGTGCTGTAATAAACCTCATTGTCTGTTGGAAGTATATTCACCTTCCTTGGACTAAGCAATACACAACTTGTACCTGATATTTAATGTATCCAAATGAATCTATATTGAATCCAGAGTGGAATCGAATCACAAGCTAATGAATCAACCCCCTCCCTCCAATCTATAATTTTCGCTACAAGCTGAGCTCAAAAGTTGGCAGCACATGTGTATGTGTGTGCGTGTGGTGTGTGTCTGTTTTTTATCCAGTAGCTTATCATTTCGCCTCTGCTCCGGATAAACTGAATCATCACACAGTCACGACATCAAGCACACTCACACATTCACAACTGATTTGAGAGTGCTAAGAAACCACAAATGTTTTAGTAACATTGAGTATGTGTAACACATCTCACATGTAAAATGTTTATTATATAATAAGTTATAATGCAAAACACATTGTTAGCAAAAAAAAAAAAAGGTAGTAGCCTACACTGTAAAAGCTAAAGGTGCCTCAAATATCCTGTTGGACTTAAAAATGTAATTTAAGTGCCTAAATATAACTAGCAAAGTTCTTTCTCCATTAGTAGGGTTATTGGTGGCACATTGGTGGTTGTCTATTCCGAAATAAGGCCTGTGGAGTAAAGTGGTCTACAGAACTGATTCAAAATCCCCCCTCAAGAAATTGGATGTCATTTACCACAGCGCCATTCGTTTCGTTTTGTCCAAAATTGGACAGTTGAAGACTGGAAAAATGTGGCCTGGTCTGATGAGTCTCGATTTCTGTTGGGACATTCAGATGGTAGAGTCAGAATTTGGCGTAAACAGAATGAGAACATGGATCCATCATGCCTTGTTACCACTGTGCAGGCTGCTGGTGGTGGTGGTGTAATGGTGCGCGGGATGTTTTCTTGGCACACTTTAGGCCCCTTAGTGCCAATTGGGCATCGGCCTACCTGAGCATTGTTTCTGACCATGTCCATCCCTTTATGGCCACCATGTCCCCATCCTCTGATGGCTACTTCCAGCAGGATAATGCACCATGTCACAAAGCTCGAATCATTTCAAATTGGTTTCTTGAATATGACAATGAGTTCCCTGTACTACAATGGCCTCCACAGTCACCAGATCTCAACCCAATAGAGCATCTTTGGGATGTGGTGGAACGGGAGCTTCGTGCCCTGGATGTGGATCCCACAAATCTAAGAATGCTTTCAGCTCCTTGTTGAATCAATGCCACGTAGAATTAAGGCTGTTCTGAAGTAATTTTTGCATTGAATTGAACTAGAGAAGTGTACATAAGAATGGTTTCATAAATGAATTACACATTTTTTTTTCCGGCTTGTTTCATTCAGTGAAAGCGAATGTAGACTGGGGTTGCCTTATGCCTGAGATCTGCTTTTGGGTTCCACAGACAAAGTCAAACAGGTTAGGAATGTCACAAGGCTGAGGAAATTATTTTTATTTCACAACTATGACTTTAGTAACATAACAAAATAAAACTACATGTTGTACTTTGCAGGGATCTCGGTAAGCTGAAATACAAGTTTGAACAAGAATAAAAATCCTCCTGTAGACCTGAAAATCATTGAAGTGCGTGGACCATCCACCAGAAAACAGGGACAGAAAACGGAAAACGAAGCTGCTGTATCTTTTCACTTTTCTAACTCGTTAAAGGGATAGTTCACTTTGAAATTAATTTTTGGTATGTTTTATCTTACCTCAAGGGCATCCAAGATGTAGGTGTCTTTGTTTCCACAGTATTTTCAATTTTGATATTTTTAGGTCAAACCGTTCTTGTCTGGTATATGGGGATCTCCTTAAAGAGCAGCACAGAGAAGTCCAAATTGAACGTGATTTAATGACTCGTAAATGTACACATTGATGGCCTGAGACACAATTTCTTTGTGTGGATTCTTATGAAAATTACTGATTCATCAGTAAAAAAAAAAATCACAGAACAACAGCTAATTTTACAGCACCTTAATGTTTTCTGCTTGTTGTGACACAAGGAATACTGTTTCCGGGTCGAAGCCTCTACTTCTACTTGCTCTATCTTGTTTCTAGTAAGAATACTCTCAACAACCATTTATTAGCACTGTTGATTCAAGTCACAAATTTAAGCTTTTCAAAAGCCATAGTGTACATTACAGTCTCCAGGCTCACAGAATCCCAGACTTCAATATTTTACCCTAATAGCTGAATAACTAACCATCTGAGATTTCGGTATAGAGATAAACGTTAGGATCATAATTTTCAGGAATATGTGTATTTGCGCTGTTTGGTATTTGTTTTTGGATCTTTTGGATTTGGAAACAGTGACGTGTGTTCCCATGCATTTTGTTGAGATGTCTTTTCTTGTAACACAACATGAATAATCATCCATGTATATGCAATTATGTACCACAGACCTAATTTTAACCACTGAAAACCACTATTGTATGCATTAGAGTGAGTTTCAGAGTGAACTTTTGGTGAACTAGCCTTCCGGAGTGGTCTACAAATTGACGCCATGGTTGAACAGCTCAATAGATTAAATGTGACTACGTTTGTGTCTTTTTTTTTTTTTTTTTTAGCTGTCTTGCTGAGCCTGTTTTAACTTTTTATTATCAAGTACATGTTGTATGTGTCATCAGAATTGTTGCCTGTTAAAACAGGTCTGTTTTATTACTCTTTTTTGGTGCTTATTTTCACATCAGATTTGCATATTTCTTTCAGAATCATTTGTTTTTCAGTTTGACTTGCTCTTCATTACAGTTTTGGCTGTGAAAACTTGATCATATCAGAAACCGGACTGTGAAACCGTTAAAACAGCCACTTCCTCTTCTGTGTCCGCAGACTGATTATCATAGTTAAATCAATTTTTTTCATTTCTGTATGTGTTTAGATAAAATTAGCTCCATTTAATATTAAACTTAATCTGCCCATTTGCCTAATACACATTTTACTACCACCAGCAATATTTCTAACACCCTTTGTCCGTTTATTTGTCCGTTTATATTATAGTCTCATTTATTTACGTGTAACAAAACTTTATATTCTTGGCATGGAGTAAATCCAAATCCTGGCTTACATACAATATAAGCATTCATATGTAATTGTATAGTATAGGTTGTTTTCTTGCTGTATATGGTTACCCACAAGCGCCTTGGTCAATGCTTTGTTTTAATTATCTGGTGTATGTCATACAGTGTGTCAATAATCGTACAATTGCCCTGAGGCACTTTAGAAATTCCTCACAAAGACGGTCAACATCAGTAAAAATGGACTTTGACTGGCCAACAACACCGTCATTGATCTTAAAGTGAGATCCAGATCCTAAAGCTATTCTTCCAAACCGGAGACACGTCATGTGCCTCACCTTGACTACTGACCCGCCCGGACCTGCCCTTACGTCAATCATTAATGTTCACAAAACATAAAGCAACCCTCTGGGGAAACCCTAGTGCTCATGCCATGTCCAATAAATCAGTATAAAGAGTGGGCCTACCTAGTGCTGGGCGGTTTGACCAAAAATTTCTATCACGTTTTATATGACGTTTTTTTTTCCCATGCATAATCAGGTGTTCAAAGCATTTTCTACTGGTTGGGTTGAGAGAGGAGTTACTGCAATAAATTGGTCTATTTTATTGTCATTAGTTATTATTGTAGAATAGAATAGCGCCCAGTATAACCTGAAATTGTTATTTCTTAACGTTCTAATAACATTCTTATACAAGCAAGAACGTTAATACAACGTCTAAAAAAATTGACGCTTTGAATGTTTCTAGAACATTCAGAATAACATTTTTATAACTTAAAGGGAACGCTATGAAAACGTTCTTAAATTGTTAGCAGGCGGAAGACGAGAGATTCGCGATTGCACTGAACACGTTTTAAGTGCAGGATTCTCTGAGCGAGCCCAGAGATCTATTCATACAAGAGCAGCGTGTATCTGAGAGCGCACGCGAGCAGAGATTCGCGCTTGCGCATTATATTAATTTACTTTCGCGCTACAATAGTGCGCTCTCGACATTTGACGGGAAAATAACGCCATAGTTCTGCAGCATCCACCTTCCCCATAACGTAACACCAGAGGACTGCTGTTTGGTTTACCTTCGCCTCACCGTCCCTGCTTAGAAGTGCAACATTGTAAAGGGTCCGTCTGAAACAGTGTCGCGCAGCGTAACGTTCGTTCCGAACGCTGTGTAATTAAATACATCGGTATGGCGGTATATTAAAAAATAACATCATAATAAAAATATACACCGGTTTTCGAAATGAACCGGTATACCGCCCAGCGCTAATTTTAGTAAAATCCAACGAGTTCTCATCCTAGGGCGAAATATAGTGACACTTTTGAAATTTCGTCCAAATCCAACGCACATGGCACCGTTTAACGTCAATATAACACGCTTTGTTCGGTTATGGGTAGGTTTAGGGTTAGACCACTAGGAGGCGCCTTCTGGCCCATATAAATCTGCGTCTCATATTGATGGTAAAAGGTACCATGTGCGTTGGATGTAGACGAAATGTCAAAAGCGTCAGTATATGACGCCTTGGGATGAGAAAGTAAAAATCATAGTTGAGTAAAATTGCAGATACCTTATAGCCAAAATGACAAGTCACCGATTCCAATGCGACGTGAGAAAAAGTCTTAGGCCCCATCCACACCACTGCGCTTTCGTTTAAAAACGGAGACCAATTTGCTACGTTTGCACCTTTGTTTGGACAAAACAAAGACCTAAAACGGAGAAGTTTAGGAACGCTTTAGAAAGCTCCTTTTTACGTTTTTAATCTCCAGAGGGCGTTTTATTGAAGACGGAACAAAACGGAGGAGTTTAGAAACGCTGACGCAGAGGCTCACGCTCGGCTCTATGATTGGGTGTCATCAGTCATGACGTATCCTTCCCTGATTCGTCAGCCACTGTTTACACCGGCACGCGCATGCCCAGTGTTGGTGAATGGTCATGTGATCCGCGTTTTCAGGTGTTTTAATGTGGACGGAAATCAATTGTCCGTTTTTAAACAAAAACACAGTAGTGTGGACGGGGCCCAAGGGTACGTTTACACAACAACCATATTGATATGCTTAAAATTGAAAAGTTTTTCCTTTGAGTTTTCTGCGTAAAGACGACACCGTCAAAACGATCCCACTTCACACGGATCTGCGAAAACGACTAAAAACTGACGTCATCGTCTTCAGAGACGGTTTTCAAAGACTTGCTCTTTTTACACTTTACCGCACTTGCGGTTTATTCTTGGTACTAAATGTAGGCTCAGAGATGCACAAATCCTCAACAAATCCAAAAATGAAACGCCTAAAAAAAATTGTGCTAAAACGAGGTCGACACCACAGCCTCTTCACTCAAGATTTAGTTCTCAAAAACTCAAGTAAACTAATATCCTTCAAAAAGTTCTCTTTTATATAAGGAATAATCAAAATAACGTAAAGTAAAATGAAATAGCCGAAGCCTATTTGCACTAGACGTCCTGACATCACCATCCCAACGCGATTGAGCAACTACCAGCGAATTCACTCGCATTCATGTCATCCTCGTTGACAAGTTTGTGTAAGTAAGAGTAAAAAACTCAAGATATAGTATCTTCAATGCCCTGTAGATGGCGATATTGCTTCTTTTGTAGCAGAAATAAACTGCTAAAGTTAGGTGCCGCAAAATGTAACGAGTTATTGTATTACTCATCAAGACTACATGTACTTATTCAAAAATATAGTCAATGAGAGTTAACATGAGTATAAGATATTAGCAAACATTTACGGTAACTCAAATACGTTACACCACTGCCATAAACCTGTAATCAGACCATCCGACATACTATCAGCGCTGTGGTTAAATTACAACCCAGCGATATCCTATTTATGTAGTCGATGTGTGTTATGTAAACAATATGCAAGAAGGTATGAATATCAGTTAAATATGGAAGTAGAGGAAGTTGCTGATGTCATTTTAAAGTGGGAATTTCCGTGAAAGTATAGGGTGAGGGTTTAGGGGAATAATTTCAGTTGGAGATTGAGTAACGTCAGGTCACACCTGAAGCTCCTCACAGACGTGTAGGAACAGGACTGAGCTCAAATCACAACGCTTCTCATGACACTCATTTCCACAGATGTATCACAGCTCAAATAACAAGAGAAGTTGTGAGTTCTTAGGAAAAAACTGTCATCAGAGCTCCTATAGATGAAGCCTCAATAATTTCAATATAAGTGATTTCATGATGTGTTTTTGAAGCATGGGTGGCATTTTACAGTGATCGTATGATCTTATCAGCAACAACTAATCCACTAAAAATGCTTTCATGCTTTTGTCACACCTGTGCTTTCAACTAGTTTCACTTTTATCTAATATTTGTACATGGTTTACAGAGATATAAATGACGCTGGTTTGCTCCGTGTTTCTCCTGTTTGTCACTCTCACCTTGTAAAAGCATAAATGCTTGTCATTATTCAGCATTACTTTAACCATATAACAAAGAAGTAATTATGAAATTACATGTAAAGATTAAGCTCCTAAGTGGATCAAAATGCACTTTTGAATTCAACTAATTACTAGAATTTTAAACTACTTTACATCTTAAAGGAGTAGTTCACTTTAAAAAAAAACTTTTGCTGATAATTTACTCACCCCCATGTCATCCAAGATGTCCATGTCATTCTTTCTTCAGTCAAAAGA